ACCTGAAGCTACACAAACCACCCTTCAATCTACTCCAGCATGCACCTGGCTTCAATACACAATGTATCTAACCACCTGACCATTTCTCGAGATTGCTTCAAACCTGAAGCTTAGCACATACTGCCCTGTTATCTACATCCACCCATAATGTGATGTATCTCGTCATCACACAATTCATTTAACCACCAGAGAGCGTCTTCAACATGAAGCCAACCCCTATGACACCCTGTAATCGAAACTTTCCCAAGCCAGTAAGTATTCTGTTACAGTACCTCGATTATTTGACCACTTTACCACTTCCAGGAACCTGTAGCAGTCAAGTCAGTAATGAGAAAACTGTATCGCAATATATATAACACCTCACATGTCATCTGAGTGGGTGGGGGAGACATGTCATCTGAGGGGAGGATGTTTCACCTGAATGAATATCTATGGATATCAAAGGGGTGGGAAGAACCTGACACTGGGCATGGGGGAGACATCATCTGGGGGAGGATGTTTCACCTGAATGAATATCTATGGACATCAAAGGGGTGGGAAAGACACGTCATCTGGGGAGGATGTTTCACCTTAATGAATATACATGTACATGAAAGGGGGTGGGGAAGACACGTCATCTGAAGGGAGGATGTTTCCCCTGAATGAATATCTATGGACATCAAAGGGTTGGGGGAGACACATCATCTGGGGGGAGGATGTTTCACCTGAATGAATATCTATGGATATCAAAGGGGTGGGGAAGACACGTCATCTGGGGTCAGGATGTTTCACCTGAATGAATATCTATGGACATCAAAGGGAGTGGGGAAGACAGGTCATCTGGGCATGGGGGAGACACATCATCTGAGGGGAGGATGTTTCACCTGAATGAATATCTATGGACATGAAAGGGGGTGGGGAAGACAGGTCATCTGGGGAAGGATGTTTCACCTTAATGAATATCTATGGACATGAAAGGGGTGGGAAGACACATCATCTGGGGAGGATGTTTCACCTTAATGAATATCTATGGACATGAAAGGGGTGGGGAAGACAGGTCATCTGGGGGGAGGATGTTTCACCTGAATGAATATACATGTACATGAAAGGGGGTGGGGAAGACAGGTCATCTGAAGGGAGGATGTTTCACCTGAATGAATATCTATGGACATGAAAGGGGGTGGGAAAGACACATCATCTGGGGGGAGGATGTTTCACCTGAATGAATATCTATGGACATCAAAGGGGGTGAGGGAGACACATCATCTGGGGTGAGGATGTTTCACCTGAATGAATATCTATGGACATCAAAGGGGATGGGAAAGACACATCATCTGGGGGGAGGATGTTTCACCTTAATGAATATCTATGGACATCAAAGGGGGTGGGAAAGACACATCATCTGGGGGAGGATGTTTCACCTGAATGAATATCTATGGACATGAAAGAGGGTGGGGAAGACAGGTCATCTGGGGGGAGGATGTTTCACCTGAATGAATATCTATGGACATCAAAGGGGTGGGGAAGACAGGTCATCCTGGGGAGGATGGTTCACCTGAATGAATATACATGTACATGAAAGGGGGTGGGGAAGACAGGTCATCTGAAGGGAGGATGTTTCACCTGAATGAATATCTATGGACATCAAAGGGTTGGGAGAGACACGTCATCTGGGGGAGGATGGTTCACCTGAATGAATATACATGTACATGAAAGGGGGTGGGGAAGACACGTCATCTGGGGGAGGATGTTTCACCTGAATGAATATCTATGGACATCAAAGGGTTGGGGAGACACGTCATCTGAAGGAGGATGTTTCACCTGAATGAATATCTATGGACATCAAAGGGTTGGGAGACATCAGCTCATCTGGGGGGTGAGGATGTTTCACCTGAATGAATATACATGTACATGGACATCAAAGGGGAGTGGGGACCTAATATGTCTTCTGATGGGGTGAGGGAGACATGTCATCTAGGGGACGATGTTTCACCTGGGCTAATGTTTTGTTCATATGAAGGTGTGGGGAGGCAGGTCATCATCTGAGGGGGTGGGGAGGCATGTCATCTGAGGGGATGGGGAGAAATGTCATTTGAGGGTGGGGACACTGGAGGGAGACATGTCATCTGAGGGGGTGGGGAGATGTTGATTTGGAGGGTTGTTGTGACATTTCATCTGAGGGTGGGGGAGACATGTCATCTCATGGGTGGGGACATAATGTCTTCTGGAGGGGTGGGGAGATGGGGTGGGGAAGACTCATCTGGAGGGAGTGAGAGATGTGATCTGAGAGGGTGGAGACATCGTCATCTGAGGATCTGGGGTGGAGGAACCACATCATCTGAGGGGTAGGATGTAGCCACATCATCTGAAGTGAGGTGGAGACACGTCATCTGGAGGGGTGGGGAGGGGGAGACACGCCATCTGGGGGATCTGGAGACCTGGAGGAACCACATCATCAGAGGGGGGGGACCTGAGCCACATCATCTGAGAAGTGGGAGACACGTCATCTGTGGGGTGGGGGAGACATGTGATCTCAGGATCTGGGGGTGTGAGGAACCACATCATCTGAGGGGTGGGGGGAGGCCACATCATCTGAGAGGTGGAGACACATCATCTGAGGGGTGGGGGAGACATGTGATCTGAGGATCTGGGGAGTGGAGGAACCACATCATCTGAGGGGTAGGGTAGCCACATCATCTGAGAGATGGAGACACGTCATCTGAGAGGTGGAGACACGCATCTGAGGGGTGGAGACACGTCATCTGAGGATCTGGGGGTGGAGGAACCACATCATCTGAGGGGTAGGGTAGCCACATCATCTGAGAACACGTCATCTGAGGGGTGGGGGAGACATGTGATCTGAGGATCTGGGGAGGGGAGGAACCACATCATCTGAGGGGTGGGGTAGCCACATCATCTGAGAGGTGGAGACACGTCATCTGAGGGTGGGGCAGACATGTGATCTGAGGATCTGGGGGTGGAAGAACCACATCATCTGAGGGGTAGGGTAGCCACATCATCTGAGAGGTGGAGACACGTCATCTGAGGGGTGGGGCAGACATGTGATCTGAGGATCTGGGGGTGGAAGAACCACATCATCAGAGGGGTAGGGTAGCCACATCATCTGAGGGGTGGAGACACGTCATCGGAGGGGTGGGGCAGACATGTGATCTGAGGATCTGGGGAGGGAGGAACCACATCATCAGAGGGGTAGGGTAGCCACATCATCTGAGAGGTGGAGACACGTCATCTGAGGGCCGGGGGACACATGTGATCTGAGGATCTGGGGAGTGGAGGAACCACATCATCTGAGAGGTGGAGACACATCATCTGAGGGGTGGAGGAGCCACATAATATGACGGGTGGAGAGACGTCATCTGAGGCAGTTGGGGGAGACATGTCATCTGAATGGGTGGGGAGATCTGTCATTTGAGTAGGTGGGGTCATATGGGGGGAGAGGATGTTTCACCTGGTAGACAAAACATGGTCATCTGAGGGGATGGGGCAGATTTGTCATCAGAGGAGTTGAAAGGATGGAAATCTATTATCTGAGGGATGGTGACCTAATTAAGTCCATGTACCAAGCCCAAAGTAGTTGCCAGCAGTACTACACGATACAGTAAGATTCACAGAAAATTTCAAGAACAAAAGATATATACATTTCTATGGAAAAACTGAAATTTGGAAGAGATATGTCTTGAGTCCTACACTGAAAGTAAACAGAGATAGTGAAGAAGTTGTGACATCCAGTGGCAGTTTGTTCCAAAGTACTGCTGCAGAATAAGAAAAAAATCGGCATAAGGCAATCTGTGGACTCCTGGTACTGTCCAGTGCTTCAAACATCTTCAGCGAGTGGTAACTTGTTAAAAAAAAAGCCTTTGAAAAACTCATGTGGGTTTTGCCTTTTTTAAAAAAAATTGTTGTTCCTCCTGCCTTTAGGTTTTCTGAGGACAAACATACATAACAAGAAACAAGAAACAAAATTTGTGTGGTCTTTGAAACCTAGAAACTCTATTCTTACCCCTTGGATCCCCTTTCCACTCAAACACCCCTTTACGATACTTAGCCCTTGGACCTCCTCTCCAATCAAACACCCCTTTACGATACTTAGCCCTTGGATCCCCCTTCCGATCAATCACCCCTTTACGGTCCTTAGCCACTGGATCCCCTATCTGATCAAACACCCCTATCCGGTGATTAGCCCTTGGATCCCCTTTCTGATCAAACACACCTTTACAATCCTTATCTCATGGGAGGGGAGGGGGACAGGTGGGAGGTGTGTGTCACCTGGGTAAAACTACACGGCCAACTGGTGCTAGGGGAAGGGGTGAGAGTGGTGTGTCACCTCGGTAATACTACATGGCCAACTAGTGGCAGGGGGACAGGTCGGAGGTGTGTGTCACCTGGGTAAAACTACACGGCCAACTGGTGCTAGGGGGAGGGGTGAGAGTGGTGTGTCACCTCGGTAATACTACATGCCCAACTGGTGGGAGGGGAAGGGTTGGGAGGTGTGTGTCACCTGGGTAAAACTGCATGGCCAACTGGTGGGAGGAGGAGGGGTGAGAGGTGTGTATCTCCTGGGTAAAACTACATGGCCAACTGGTGGGAGGAGGAGGGGTGAGAGGTGTGTGTCACCTGGGTAAAACTACATGGCCTACTGGTGGGAGGGGGAGGGAGGAGAGGTGTGTCACCTGGGTAAAACTACATGGTCTACTGGTGGGAGGGAGGGAGGGAGGTGTGTGTGTGTGTGTGTGTGTGTGTGTGTGTGAGTGAGTGAGTGAGTGAGTGAGTGAGTTAAAAACAACATGAGAGGGGGAGGGAGGGAGGTGTGTGTGTGGGGGTGGTGAGTGAGTGGGTGGGTGGGTGAGTGAGTGAGTGAGTGAGTGAGTGAGTGAGTGAGTGAGTGAGTGAGTGAGTGAGTGAGTGAGTGGGTGGAGTGGTGGGTGGGTGGGTGGGTGAGTGAGTGAGTGAGTGAGTGAGTGAGTGAGTGAGTGAGTGAGTGAGTGGAAGGTTGAATGTACCTGGTAACACACATACTTGACCCTTTCCACATGCCACCAGTCCTTTCATTCTGAGCTGAAAATAACCAAACGCATCAATTATTCTAGCCATGTTGTGATGTATCTGCTCACAATACTTAAAACCCAATTTTATATTTTGCTTATCCTTTCATGACAAAAACATTAACATTAGTTTCATTATCTTCAGTCATTGTAAATTTCAAGTATTTTCATTTACAGAATTGAAATAAATGGATGCCAGAGAAAACACAATTATAAAGTGAGATTTATGAAAAAAAGGGAAAAAAATACATGCAAGAAAAGTTGCATTCCAGGCACTGGCCGAATCTTTATGTTTTGAGTGTGAAATACAAGGTGAGACAAAAATGTATGTTTTCTAGTGGACACAGAGAAACAAATTTGTTTAGATCTTTCAACACATTGCACATTATGTACACAGAACAATATTTTAATCAAAGTAATTCTATACAAACTATACAAACCACACTTGAGGCATCCTCTAACTAAAATCCACCAGGTTATGATGTACTTGGTCACTAAACATTTGACCTCCTACAATCTTCATCTACCCATGATGCACCTGCACTGTACTCAGTTTATTTAAAGCACATACAAACCATACTTAGCACATCCTGGAGTAAAAATCTACCCATGCTAGCTTATATCTGGTCACTTTTTAGAGAAAGTCTTTAACCTGTATGTTTAGTATTTTCCACCACTGCCCATTTTTAACCTTAAGCTACACAAACCACCATTAATCTGGTCAGTTTAAATGGACATTTTGATCACCATTCACCGTTTCCAGAAATAGTCTTTGTACTGAAGCTATGCAAACCAACCTGAACACAACCTCTAATCTAAATAAAGCCAAGATATGATTTACCTTTTCATTGTACACAGTCTGTTTGAGAACCATTTCTAGAGATTGTCACAAACAACCCTTAAGACACCTACTCATGGATAACAATCAGCAAAAGGTGCTGTGAAGAGGGTGGGTGATATCAAAGTATAATCAGTTCATGTAAATCACTGGAATACATTTAGGCTACACAAACCACCCTTAACACACCCTCCTCTTTCACTCTTCTGTACCCACACTGCTGGATAAGATTCAGTCAAAGATGCTGTGAAGAGGGCGGAATATATCAATGTATACTCAGTTCATGTAAATCACCTGACCACTTGAATGCATTTAGGCTCAAACTACACTAACCAAGCTTAATATACCCTATATACCAATTCTGTGGTGCATCTAGCCTATGTACACAGTCTAACTGACCACTTAACTATTCCCTGGAAAACTTTATACTGAAACTATGCAAACCACCCCTGGTAATCTACATTTGCCCAATGCTAGCATGTATCTGGCCACAATCTATTAGACCAATGCACCATACGCTTAGATATACCATAACCTGACACTACACATACAGCCTAAAGACACCCTGTAATCTGATTCCACTCACATTATGATCTACTCGGTCAGTATGGACCATTTCCAGATAATGCCTCACCATTTTCAAGAGGAAGACCTTCAACTCAGAGCTACACAAACCACCCTGTTAAAAAGAACCTCAACCATACCACCTTCCTAAAGCTACACAAACCACCCTGAAGACACCCTGTAATATAGAACCTTACCCATACCACCATCCTGAAGCTACACAAACCACACTGAAGACACCCTGTAATATAGCACCTTACCCACACCACCTTCCTAAAGATACACAACCCACCCTGAAGACACCCTCTAACATAGAACCTTACCCATATCACCTTCCTGAAGCTACACAAACCACCCTGAAGACACCCTGTAATATAGAACCTTACCCATACCACATTCCTAAAGATACACAACCCACCCTGAAGACACCCTCTAACATAGAACCTTACCCATATCACCTTCCTGAAGCTACACAAACCACCCTGAAGACACCCTGTAATATAGAACCTTACCCATACCACATTCCTAAAGCTACACAAACCACCCTGAAGACACCCTGTAATATAGAGCCTTACCCATACCACCTTCCTGAAGCTACACAAACCACCCTGAAGACACCCTGTAATATAGAACCTTACCCATACCATCTTCCTGAAGCTACACAAACCACCCTGAAGACACCCTGTAATATAGCACCTTACCCACACCACCTTCCTTAAGCTACACAAACCACACTGAAGACACCCTGTAATATAGCACCTTACCCACACCACCTTCCTGAAGCTACACAACCCACCCTGAAGACACCCTGTAATATAGCACCTTACCCACATCACCATCCTGAAGCTACACAAACCACCCTTAAGACACCCTGTAATATAGAACCTTACCCATACCACCATCCTGAAGCTACACAAACCACCCTTACTTGAAGTAACCTTCAGCTGCTTGCCGAGGATATTTTTACATTTATCAACGAGTGTTGATATATTTGATATCAGAAGACACGAGGTTGAGATTCTATTTATCATCAAAAATCACTCTTCATTAGTTTTCAATGAAAACTGTACATCTCTGAACACAGTACTGCAATTAGATGTGCAGTGCAGAGATGTCATAGCATTGTGACGTCATCAAGTTCATGTCATAGCATTGTCAGGGCATTGTGCAAAATCTACTGTCAAAAATGGTATCTCCTAGGAGATATCATCTGAACTCACACAAGCGATATCTCCTGTGGAACACAGTTTTGAATGATAAATGCAGCTCTGGTACTATGCCCTGAATACTTAGTAATGTCAATGCCAGCATCACATAGCACTATTTTGAGCCATCTGGAAATAGTCTCTCTCGTCTACGCTTTATACGGCTCATTAAAACTAACCAAAAGTTGCTGGTCTTTCCTCAAATGTTCCGTCATCTGTAAATATGCATCCCGGCATTGAACAACACACAGCTTCTCATTGTCAAATGTCTCAAGTTCTATAGGCTGTACATGCACCCCTGGTCTTGACTGTTTGACTAGACTAACTAAAGAAAAAAATACTTTCTCATCTACTCTATTAATATGATCTAAGCATAGTAACTGCAGGGATTGCACTCTCTGACCACTAACTAAAGCTAACAACATATTTAATTTTAAAGTTAACATTCTAAGAGATAGATCTACATTTTTCTCTAGGGATTCTAAATGGTCCAACACTATTCTTACATTCCATGTCATCTGATACTTAGGCAGTGAAGGTTGTAAATTGAATATACCCTTCAAAAACCTTCTCACAAGTGGATGTTGACCCATAGGCAAACCGGACTGGAGGTGTAGTACTGATGACAAGGCACTTCGGGCTGTGTTAATTGCACTGTAACCTCATCCATTTTCATACAAGTGACGAAGGAAATCAACCACAACACTCACATTAGGCAAAGTAGGATCTAGATTCAGACCCTGACAATAGTTCATATACTTAAACAGATAATAAGTATTGTTTTTGTGTTCTTCCTTGCCAAGATTTCATGATAATGGTTTCATCTGACAGGCCCCGTCTTTCCAGACATGACAAGTGGCACGCCATCAGATGCAGTTTCTTGTGAAGTGGATGCACCTCCTGTTGCTTGTATGGGAGCACTGGTGTCTGTTGTCCGTGTGGTGTTTACGCCATCATTCGCAACAGCATCGGATACCAGCTGTGAGTGGTCCACCTGGGCAATATCAACACGCCCTCTGCTCTGTCCTCCGGAATCTTTTGTAACAGTCACTCTATCTGGCTTAATGGAGGGAGTGAGTGAGTGAATTTTGTTTTACGCTGCTTTAAGCAATATTCCAGCAACATCACGGCAGAGAACACCAGGAATGGGCTTCACACATTGTACCCAAGTGGGGAATCGAACCCTGGGTCTTAGGCATGACGATCTAACGCTTTACCCACTGGGCTACCCCACCGCCCCTTAATGGAAGGAAAGCATAAAATCTCAGATTTGACCAGTCATACATGAATGCATCAACAGCATGAGCATTAGGATCTGGTCTCCACGAAAAGTATTTCACAACCTGATTACTAAGACGGGAAGCAAATAGATCTACATCAGGCATAAATACCTTTTCAGTTATTTTCTTAAACAAATATTTGTTGAGCATCCATTCTGTTGCATCATAAAACAATCGACTCTCTTTATCAGCTTCACAAGTTTCAACACCAGGCAAATGTACTGCCGATAACCAGAGATTTGACTTTGCTGTCATCCATATGTCTCTAGCCACAAGCATGCACACACTACAGACTTGGTTCTGCCCATGTGGGTAATGTATGGAACTGCTGTTGCATATCAGTCCTCAGTCTCACATGATGACCTGACAATACTGACAGAGAAAACTCTTTATACCAAATAACACTGCCAAGAGTTCCAGATAGGTAATATTGCTTCAACTCAATTTCATCATCTGACCATCTGACACCAGTCCTCTGATCTCCAGACTCAAACCCTGCTCCCCAACCCTGAAGCATCAGTGGTGAGTGTGAAGGAAGGTGGTGGTCTAGATATAGGGGCTCCATTAGACTTGATCCTGTCTGCCTGAAGAGGACAGTGTCACTGAACCACTAAAGTTACCTCTTGATGTCTTTAAAGCATCTGGTTTCTCTATTTCCAACTGCTTGATAAATAGTGGCCCAAATGGCATAGCTATAGAATAAGATCCCATCACTCCAACTATTTCCCCAACTCCTGGATATATATACACTCATTCTTACAAATGTCTTCATACTTGTCCAAGAATGTTTTAACTTTTTTTTCTCTGGGAGGGAAATAGTCATATTTCTAGAATCCAGGATGAATCCTATGAACACAATAACCTAACATGGTATCAAAACAGATTTGTCATAGTTAACCAAGAATCCTAGTTTCTCCAGCTTAACGTCTAGTGATTTCAAGATTTTCTGAACACGATTCCTCTGTGTCACCCTGAAGGTATCATCAATGTATGCTACAGATAGGTATCCAAACTGTCGCAACTCACTGAACACAGGTTTCAAAAGTTTTGTCAATATTCTGGGGGCTGATGTTAAGCCAAAAGGTAAACACTTGAACTGATACATAACACCTCCCCAAGTAAATCT